ATTTAGATGTGCAAGAAGCTGTCACAGGTCCTATTAGATGCTGTCACACAAGCTGTGGGCTCTGTGAAGCTCTCTAGAGGTAAAATTAAATATATATCTGTGTTCCTGGGTTTAAGTTCTTGGTTTTTTTTTCCTTTTTCTCTTTTTGGAGATCCTAATCATTGTAGCCATGATTTTTATGGCTCTCTACAAAGTTTTTCCTCCTCCCTTTTCCTTAGATTTTTTTCCCAAGCACTTAGAGAGCCTTAATAGAGTTGATGCTCAAAAGAACATTTCCACATCTCAGTTTTAAATATCTACTCCTTCAACTGAATTTTTACTTCTCTGCTGTATATAGAGGTTGAGAAATAGAATAAATAAATGACATACCTCTGTCATTTCCCTCATCATTCTGTCCTTCCTAAGGTCTTTAGTATATATTGAGAGTTAAGTCCTGGCCTTTCTTATTCTTTTTGGTCTCCTCTAATCCCTGCTGTGATTTTCCAGGAACTTTGATTATTATTAATCTTCTCAGGGCATCAAGACCTTTCTGTGTTCAAGTTTTTTACCAACCCAGAACAGGAAAATAACTTCTGATGTCAGGTATATTTAGATATCAAGTGGTTCTAACTAGTATTTACCATATTCCCTAGGAGGTGATTGCATGGATTCATTGGAAAGCATTATGGTAATCTGGCCACATCTTCCATTCCTCCTCTTTTCAGCCATGCTGTAGACTGCTGAGGTGCTCCAATTCACAAATATCTATTCCTTATGGAAACACAAAGATGCTTTCTGCCCCTCATGAAACACAGCTCCTTTAAATGCAACACTTTATTGTTCTCCTGAATTTCAGCTTCAATGAGAAAACGTCGTTCTCAGGGAGAACTGCAACTTGGTGATCAGTTTATTATGGAGTGTCAAAGACCCATGAAGGGGAGTGAAATTTTTACTGAAGAACTTAATTTCTCTTATTATTTGCCCAAGGAGCTAATTTAATTTATGGGAGGACAAAAAAACCCATTCCATAATTATTAAAAAATAAGACATTCCCTAATCTTTGTGTTTAATAATTAAAGCCACAAAAATGTTATGCTTTAGGTGGTGTAGCTTTGAGTTTCCAGCTTTCCATTCCTATGTTTAAGATTTTCTTTCTCCACAAAGTTCATCATTAACAGGACTTAAACTGCCTAATTCTCTCTGCTTCAGAAACTGGTAGTGCTGTCAAAGTTCCTTGCTAATTAGATACCTGATAGAGGGGCCCTGGTCACCTTGAAAATGAAAAAAAAGAAAGGTCTTTACAATCTGTGAGTGATTTAAGCCAGGCTAAAAACCCCTTTTACACAATATCAGATTGCATTTGCTGTCCCATGGATTTGCACAACACTGTATTTGTACAATATACCATAGCCCAGCACCAGTGCCAAACATGGGAGATCAAATAGGGTAAATTACTGTTGTTGTTGAGGTCTGATACACCAGAAGAAAAACACCAGTCTGAAATTACCGAAAGCTTCATGGGAAGGAGGAAAGGAGTTCCCAGAAATACACTGAAAAACGAATGCTTCCCCCTTTTGAAATGAGCTCACCAGAGCTTTCCAAAAGCAGATGAGTGGTCTTGACCTGATGAGTGTTTATCAACTGTCTGCGTGGCTGCTGGGCAGCTTTGCTCCCTTCAAAATTCCCCCTGTACATCTTGCTTCAAGAAGAAATATGGAAAAAATAGGGGGATAGGGTGTGCTATCAAGAGAATACAAGATATCTCAAGAATTACAGATTTGGATGGATCTGTCTGTGCACTGAAAAAATTCAGGATGCTTTTAGTGAACTTTATTCTGGTCAGAAGTGTTTTCAGCTTGTTCAGTGTTTAAAAATGCCTTTTTACAAACAGAACTGGCAAAGATTTAAGCAATAGGACAAAGGGATGCTTCAAGCTTTCAGTGAATCTCAAAAGAACAAGAAAAGTGAACTTTAGAATAACTGCAGCAACTTCAACTTGAGAAATAGCAAATATTTGCTATTATTAAAGATATTAAACATTAAATATGTTTGCTACTGAGTAATACAATATTGAGAAATAGCAAATATTTGCTATTATTAAAGATATTAAACATTAAATATGTTTGCTACTGAGTAATACCATCTTTTAGATACAAATCACAAAATTTGGCTTTCATTTTTCAATTGCTTTCTAATACTTATTAGGTAATATAAAGTGAATGGGAGTTTTAAAGATGGAATAGCTGCAGGAGGGAAAACTGAATCAACAGCTTCAAGCCCTGGATGAATGAAAGCTGAGGTGTCTTTGCAGGAAATTGTTTTACAAGAACCATTGTTCCATTGGGTTTTGGGGCAGGGATTGGAGGTTGGTTTGTTGTCTGTATAATGCCTCTCACAACTGGCTCTTGATTCCCTGATGGGTCTCTCTTCAGTGCTCCAGCAATCAAAAAAATAAATCAGAATGGCATTTTAAGGCTCTAATACTGTAAGTTACTTGTCCAAAGCCACAGAGTGAAGTGATGCAGAGCCAGATTTAGCACACAAGGTATTTTTTTTACTCAGTCTCAGACCATTATTTTGCTTCTCTCTAGCAAATGACCTTATTTGATGTGCTTCAATACATCCCATGGAGCAAAGGTGCTGGCAGTGGCATGGCAAGCCCCTCTCAGTCACTACAAACTGGATAGCAAGCTCCTTCCTTCCACTTTTGAAGGTCATGAGGCAACCTTCAGAAGAGCAAAAGAAACCCCAGGAGTCACATAGATGTGTTAGGTGATGGGCAGGTTAATATCCCTCCAGACCAACAGCTGGGAAGGACCTCAGCATACAATGAGGGTGGTGAAACCCTGTTCAGGTTGTCCAGAGAGGTGGTCACTGCCCCACCCCTGGAACCATCCCAGGGGAGGTTGGATGGGGGTCTGAGCACCCTGCTCTAGCTGCAGATGTCCCTGCTCCCTGCAGGGGGTTGGACTAGGTGGCCTTCAAAGGTCATTCTGCCCTGGCATTGAATTCAGTTAGTCTCTTATCCAGAAAAATCATTTCCTTAGGACAAGTACTGAATGCAGCATGGATCCCACCTATCCAACCTGATTACTTCCAGCAAAGTCAATGGAATTATTTACACAGGATAAGGTCCAGTGTGAAGAAATTCTTTAAAGCATAGGAGCAAAAACCATCCTGGATTTTGTCCATGCACAAAGGACCATGAGAGAGTCCCATTAAGGGTGTAGAGTACAAAGGGTGGGAGGCACAGGGTAGAACAGGGTAAGAAAGGAAATAATCTCAGTCAGGCAAATAGGGAAACTTATCCAAATAAGTGCTCCAAATCCATTTGAAAGTGCCCAGGGAACAGGTTGGGGCCTTCTTGAAGTTACAGTGGAATGAAATTATTATAAAAATAATATTAGAGGTGGGCACAGGCTGCAAATGTTACTACTTCTGAAAAAACAAATTGATTAAAAATCATTTCCTCTTCTGTTTCTCTGCCAAGACCTATTTTCAGGATTCTGCTTCCTCTCAATGAAATCTCAGGCACCTCAACCAAATGTATTAAAACAAATCCATTCAGGACTTGGCAAGTTAAAAAAAAAAGGAAATTATTTTAAAATATTTTGCTTTAAAATATGCTAGATGGTCATTTTTGTATTCATGCACATTTTCTTATTAATTTTGGCTGGTAAATAGTTCTCTGTAAAACAGGAACTTCACCATGCACCTTTCAGATATAGACTGGTTTGTGTGGATTTTCCTAATTCTTCTTTTCAGTGTTGTTTCATCTTGCTGCCTTCATGGAAGACAAAGTCAAGACAATAAGATTTTTTTGGGGGGTTGTGGCCTTCCTTCTGCAAGTTTCAGGTCATCTCTTGAAGTCACAGTGGCTACTCATGTGCTGGAAGTTAAATACAGACATTTATCAGCTTGAAAGTTTGAAGTATTCTTTAATTTGAGTAAAGGTCCCTCATGGAATTCTATCAATTCACAGGTTACAAAATTGAGAACAAAAGATATTTATCCCATGATGTTATTTCTAATGGAAAGAATAAGGAAAAAGAAAAGGTGAAAAAAAATCTTGTTTAAAAAGTGAATAAAATTTCTGTGTGAAATAAGTTTTGAGTAAGAATTTAAAATCAAGGCATGTCATTGTTTAATTTATTCTAGGTTGTTTGTGATGCTTTGCTAATATATTGCTCTTTTGTTCTTTCACAAAATGATAGTATTTTCACTCAAATCTCTCAAACACATGGGTAGGCTCATCTGTAAGACATTCCCCATCCCACATGCTGGGCAGCCAGTAGTTGAGTCATTAAAACCTGGTTGCAAACACATAAATAAGAATATTTGGGTGTTCTAGTATGTTCTCTAGACTGAATGGGATGAAGAAAGTTACAGATGTCCTTAGGTGGTCACAGGCTTGGGTTTATGTAAGGAACCTGTTTAGACATCCTGAATTCTTCAGTAGCATCTTGTGGGCATGGGACATTGACTAAGAAAACCATAGAGGAGTTTTGGTGAGTACAAGTTAATGCCATTTAGCCAGCCCACCCAAAGGATCCTCTCAAGCTGTGGTGAGAATGTTGCTCAGATGCTTTAAACCATGCTCAGGCACTTCTCGTGGTGCAACCTTTAAATGCCTCCATCAGTGGGGGTGAAGCAACTCCTGCCTGATGCAGTCATGTAGTGCAACAATTAAAACTGCAAATTGTTTTGTTGGTGGCCTTATTTTACCTAAACTTTACATCCTCCCCAAAAGAATGTGAAGACTGCAAAAAAAGAAACATCCAGGAGGTGGGAAGTAGCACAGAGAAGGTCTTCTCTTGCTTTTGTGCATCATCTCTTCAACGACATGGATTTCCACCAGCTTCCCATCTTGCTGATGGCACCTTCAGGGGGTAGCTTTGTGAAGTGGAAGATGCCACCATCCAAAGGACACTCAGGCCATGGTTTTTTCAGGAAATGGAGGCAACATCATGACTGGAGTAAGGACTTAGAGTTGGAAAGAGGCACTATTATAGATAGGCAAGATGAAGCTGTTTGAGGACATTGATACCATCCCTTCTTCTTCTCTATTCTCACTGCCTAACAGTAGTCTGGAGTATTCAGAGGAAGCCTCTAAGAATGAGTTCACCATTTTAGGGGGGGTTAGAGAGGGACTTCTGGCTTTCTTTTGCAACAGGTACAGAGCACACAACTTTGAGTTGTGCTTTGAAGAAGTCATCATGTGAATGATGACACCGAGGACCCTGGAGAAATGAGGTTTCTGGTTGCCTCTTCAAAAATCAGCTGATGTTTCTGATCATTTTGATTTCAGTTTCTCTGTTTCTGTCCCCAGTTATAAAGTGAGGATCACACCACCTCCTCCTTATAGGTATGAAAGCAAAGTCACCACGTTTGTGACCAACTGCTGTGACTAGATGAAAATGTCCATGAAGAGATTTATCATCTCTTCTCAGAGCAGGGCTTGGTCACTTCATACTCTAGAGATTTGGTTTAAATCCTTATTCACTATCCATTTTGTTGAGCTCACCTTCTGGCCTCTCAAGCTCACTGGTCTCCACACCTCTCCTTATTTTTGCCTTACTACTTTGCTCCTCTGTGTTCTCCTTTCACTGTTTCTTGACTCTGGTGGCTTCCAGAGAGAAACTGGGATGTTAGGAGGGATTGTTCTTAGTTCTGCACTAGGAAGCCTGTATTTCCCTCTTCACTGGCATGTCCCACTAAGCTCCATAGGTTCCCATGGAGGAGCACCAGTAAGGATGGCAGATACCACCTCCAACCAGCACAGAGAAGAACTCTACCACGCTCATGGGGAATTGAATCTATCCAGCCTAGGCAAGCAGATTTTTTTTCCAGGGGCTTATAACTTTGCCAAATCTGGGCAATTTTTATTAAAAACTTTTCCCCTGCCAAACTTCAAGTCTTTTCTCCAAAACATGGAGGCACTAGAACTTTTTTAATGAAATGGTTATTAAAACCCAAACAAAAAACTAGAAATAATAACATGTTTTTCTCGCAGTTGTTCTCAGAAAAGTTGTTCTGTTGTTCTCAGAAATGGCTGAACCAGTTCAGCCTGATTTATTTATTTTGGAAAGAGTCAGCTGAGACAAATTTTCAGCCTGGGAAAATTCAGCCCAACTGGTTAGCCTGTCTTAAAGTTTGGCAAAGTTTAATGCCAGTGAAAATGGTCTTATCCTGAGAAGTCAAAGGCAAGCTTACTGGTCAGCATTGCTCCTTGCTTAGGATGGAAAAGGACTATAGATATCTCTAAATAAACTGCTTTTTTTGGTTGAATGTTTCAGATTCTTTGAGTATATCTTGCTCTACAAAGATGGAGTGATGTTTCAGATTGAACAAGTGACCAAGCTTTGCTCCAAGATCGCTCTGACAGAGCCGTGGGATCCATATGATATTCCTGCCAACTCAACTTATGAAGATCAGTACTACATTGGGGGACCTGGAGACCAAATTATGGTACAGGAATGGTCTGACAGAAAACCAGCCAGGAAATGTATGTGCACGCTTTTGTTTCATCTTAATAAAAACCTTAATAAACTGAAGACTTCCTAAAAAGTCTCTGCTACCCAGGGAAAAATTAACTTATGTTTCACCCCAGCTTTCCCTATTTCTATAAAGTTTGCTGGGAAAAATAAGTATTTTTATCTAAAGTATGTTTTATATATATATAAGTATTTTATATATTATCTAATAATAATAATAACCCTGTGCACAGCATATAATTTTATTGTCAATACATTAAGAAAATGTTTCATGTCTCAACAGGATCAATTATATCCGTGGGACTTTTTACAAGGTCTTGTAGTGATAAGTTGAGGGTAATGGCTTCAAACTGCAAGAGGGTAGATTAGATTAGAAATTAGGAACTTCTTCACTATCAGGAAGTTCTTCACTGTGAGGGTGGTGAGATGGTGACACAGGTTGCCCAGGGAAGCTGTGGATGCTCCATCACTGGAGGGGTTCAAGACCAGGTTGGATGGAGGAGCTTTGAGCAACCTGCTCTAGTGGGAGATGTCCCTGCCTGGGGCAGGGGGGGTGGAAACTAGATGATCTTTAAGGTCCCTTCCAACCCAAACCATCCTATGATTCTAGGACTTGTGTTTTAGTTCATTTAGTTTCAGATTTTGGTATAGAACAGCATCATTTTGTGCATAATAGCAGCAAAGCAGCTATGTTGGCATAGAAGACATCCAGTTTGTGGCTCTGAAGCAATGGACATCTTTAATAATCACCTAAATTTTATCTTCTAAGAACCATCTGCTCACAAGGCTTAGTTCTGCATTTAGCAGCTGAACACCTGCATCAGAAAAGAAAATAAACTGAATATTCCAAGGTTCAGTATGTTCAGTTTTGGACACACAGCCATTTATGAGCACATTGGCTTCAATTTCATCTATGGTTTACTGGTGACCCCAACAACTCTAAAGATAATTTTAAAACCCCCATGAAATTGATGGAATTATTCAATAATTGCAATACTTATGGTTATAGACATCTAAGATCTAGGCTGGTTATGAACCTGAGCATTTAGCCAGAGGAAATTTCTTTCTTTCCTGAATGAAAGTAGAAAGAATGAAGTGGAAGATGAAGGATAAGGTCATTATACCTCTAACGAGGTTGATACATCCTGTGGTGTTCTACAAGAGGCAAATTATCTCTTACTCCAAGAATTTTGTTTTTTCAGAGCTGGTATTTTTGGAACTTTTATGGAACTTAATATCCAGATACATTAAATTAATGATGTGTGATTTTTATCCTGTGCTATTTTGTATCTCCAGTGCTTTTCTGTATGATCACAGAAAGAATCCCAGCATGGCAGGGGTTGGAAGGGACCTCTGGAGATCACCTCATCCAACCCCCCTGCTAAAGCAGAGGCACCTACAGCAGGTTGCACTGGAATCATTCATAAAAATAATGCCTTCATGTTGTCAACCCTTGTGCCTTTCAGCTAATATTGAATTTGAATCTAGAAATTATTTGTTAAAATGACAAAGATTTCAGTGGACCTAGAGGCTACCTTGGGAGCAACATATTTTACCTTCATTTTTTATTCAAAATTCTGACCAAAGACTTGTTGAGGAAAAGAAAGTTCCATGTCTGAACACTCAAAACCAAACTCATTGGAGTCAGAATGTTTTTGGTATATTAAGATGCCCTGGAGAGAGATATTCAAATATTGCTCAGCTTGCCACCCTTTCTTTAAATACCATGTTTTATATCACCCCTTATCTATTGCTGATATGTGGTACAGCATCTGACATAACACTAGAAACAGAAAATATAAGTTGGATTGCTGCTGAGTGAGAGAAAAGTGTCCTGGGGACTGGAAAAAAATGTTACAGGCATCCCTCAGAGGAGCTGATTTATGATCACAATAGATAATTCTGTATTTTAACCTCATGAGTTTCTATTATCAAGAGAGGGGAAACACATAAAACTAGATGAAGTGTATGATGGAAGGGGTAAAGACCACAGATGATGCCCATGGGTTAATAAAAAAGATTTTAAAGTGAAGGGTATTGAATGGAAACCACCTCCCTGGTTTTGACTGTAGAAATAACACCTTCATGAGGTGAAATTAGAGGTGATGGCAGAGGACATGGGGAGAGGAGTGAGGGAAGACCTCAGAGAGAAGCATGGTGTGGAATTAAACTGAAGTGAAAGAGACTTGCTACATGACATAAATGGTAAAAATCAGCATTGAGGGTAGTCTTGAAATAATTAACTAGTGGAAATGCTTGGGAGGAGTAGGAATTTTAAAAATTAACATAATGCTATGAATATAGATGATGGGAAACAGGAGGAAAGAGTTAACAGGTGGAGGCACTGGAGTTGTATTTGGGAAGCTGGAAGTGGGCAGATTCAGGCTGGATGTGAGGAAGAAGTTCTTCCCCATGAGAGTGGTGAGACCCTGGGATGGGTTGCCCAGGGAGGGGGTTGAGGCCCCATCCCTGGGGGTCTTTAAGGCCAGGCTGGAGGAGGCTCTGGGCAGCCTGATCTAGTGGGAGGTGTCCCTGCTCATGGCAGAGAGGTTGGAACTGGGGGATCCTTGTGGTCCCTGCCAACCCTGACAGATTCTGATCTGTTTTAGTAGAGGACTTTAGAGCCCTAATGGCTCAATGGTTGGACTCGATGATCTTGGAGGTCCCTTCCAACCTAAAGGATTCTATGATTATTGAAAGGTGACATATTGATGCCGTGGTGATATCATGGTTTCAAACGTGCTTGCCACCAACATATTCAGATGTAAGATCACCACAGTGCCCAAATTCTACCAGTTTTGGGGCCCTTTGTGGTGTTGGCAGCCACGCACAGGGACAAACCTATGGGCAGTGCCAGCCTGTAGGCTTTCCTTGAGACACAGCCAACGTTTTGATGGCCACCACGACCCGTTCCTTCCTCCTTGTGACCTAACTCCACATTTCTGCCTCATGACAGCGGAATCCTGGGTTGGTGTTTACACAGTCAAGGACTGTTACCCAGTCCAGGAAACCTACACCAAGAACTCCAGCGTGACGACCTCCACTCGCTTCTTTGACCTCCAGCTTGGCATTGCTGACCCCTCGGTGTTCACCCCACCCAGCACCTGCCAGGCAGCCCAGATGAGAAGGATGGATGATGTCTGCTGATCGTGGACACTGGCTGCCCCAGGAAAACACTGCTGAGCCAAGAGGATGGTGGTTAATCCTCAGCTGCTGCTCTCTGAGCTGATTTTTTCAAGCTTCTCGTTGCTCTTTTGGGGATTTTAAGTTTTCCACTTGAAGGAGGACATAAACATTTAAGTAAAATATGGAACCCAACCCATCTCCTTCATCACATTAAGCTGTCCAGTGATGCACTTGCAGTATTACATAGTTACCCCTAAGATAGTATTTATAGATGCTATTTATTTTAGCTGTGGATGATTTTCCTTTGGCAAACGTTATTTATCATTTCAAGAAGACAGAGCACAAGCAGAGGGCAATAATGGGAACACTGAGAAGGAAAAACTAGATTTTGTTGTTGTGGTTATTTCTGGGGACTTGGAAGGGGAAATGTCCTGGGTGAGACCTCATCCCCAAATGAAAAATAGCCCATTTTAAACAATATATATCAAAAGTATGGAAATTCAGTCTCGTGGTTTTGTTCTGGGGTTTGTTTTCTTTTCAAGGATGTGAAAGGAAGGGAAGGAGGGAGAGGTACAGCCCTGGCAAAGGAAGCCAAAGTTTTCTTGCAGTGACTACACTGTAGAAGTGTTCCAGTGGGGTGCAATGAGCCATTTTTCAGTCATATTTTACTTCAGCACCCACTTTTCAAGGCAATATTAGCTTGGACCTATGCAAAGAGATTAAGAGGTTCTGCACTCCAAATGGATTTAATATTTTGTAACCATTTTCTTCAAAAGTGCTTACTCAGAGAGAATGGAAACACCTTTAGAATTCCAAGTGATGGGCAGAATGAAAGTCCCCTTAAAGGGAATAAATAGCTAACCAAAAAAAGCATGGGAAGGGCACATATTCTGCTTGAGAAAACTCAAATATTAATGCACCTTCATGCCCTCAGAAGTGTGGAATGGTGATGGGTTTTGCACTTCCAAGTGAAATTAATTGGCTTATTCTCCAAGTCTAGGCATGAATTTTATTCATTATTATTTGCAAAGAAGATTTGAAGCCAGATTCTTCTGTCCATGTGTTGGGTTGTTTGCTCCAGAAGCTGGGTGGCTGAAAACAGCCCAACATTGAGAAGTTGGATGCCCCTGGAGGAGAGATGCTGGGCAACCTTTTAGTGCTTTCTACACTCAGAACTTTTTGTCCATCAGCAAATGCTACAGTGGGTGCTTTGCTTCCCCAGTTGTGCTCAGGATGGCATTTTAATTTACCTTGTGCCTGATGAAATATTCAGAAACATGCTAAAATTTAGGGGGCTCATTCAAGATTTTCCTTCAGACGTGACCATCTCACTGAAACATGCTACTGGAAGGAAGATTTGGTTTCCCTGAATTTAGAAAGCATTTAGCCTGTACTTGCCTTTTGTATTTTTTTTCCTGCATATTGTCCTCATTAGGGCAATGATTAACATGCATTTCTTAATATCTGTGTCTTGTGAGAGGCTGGAAAATGTAATAAATCTGGCTAGCCAAGATGAAGCTGTGGTACTGTATCATTTGGGCTGAGTTGTGACAGAGCAGAAAGCTGAGTGATGAGGGTGTTTGTGTTCTCTTTTGCTGACAGGAGTAGAATTTCTAGCAACAAGATGAAATGTTCTTTTCACTATAAATTTGCAAAAGGTCTGCTACACAGGAGTGCTCCAAAAATGTTGCTGTGACACACAGGGCAGCTTTCTATGGCTAAATATTTACTTCAACAATGCTGTTGTCCTTATTTACACACTGCAAACTCAACAAAGTTGGCAAAGTGATGTCAAAATCCACATTTTTGGGTTATGGCTTATAAATTAGGCACAAACCCAATATAAAGCCCAAAATACCTGTGCCTGGTTACTCAACAAAGTTGGCAAAGTGATGTCAAAATCCACATTTTTGGGTTATGGCTTATAAATTAGGCCCAAAATACCTATGCCTGGTTTGTTCTCTTGGTCATTATTTGCTACACGTCGTTATCTTGGACCACAAGAGATGTTTTTGTCTTCATGCAACCATGCAAATGACTCAATAAGATGGAGAATAAAAGGATATTAAAGCAGCCATCTAGTGTCCTGCCACAAAAATGGGGTTTTCATGTGTTTGATAGCCCAGGGAATTTGCTTATCTTAGTTATCCCATGGAAAAATCAATAATAAATTGGTATGTACCTGAGTTCTATTGTCTTCTGCTGGGTAAGGGTGAGGACCTGGGTAGCCTGTGAGACAGAGGTGGTTTTGGGAGCTTTCCAGTGCTCCCTGGTTTCAGCTGGGCCAGAAATAGTGCCAACCTACACCTCCCTGCCAGATTTTTGTGTTGCTGCTTGGAGGCTCTGCTGAAAGCAGGATGTGTAGAAGCACAACATTGTTTTATTTAAAGTTAACCAAACATTCCTGCACCTTAAAACGGGTTTCGTTTGAGTTTGGGGAGGAGAGCTGGGCATTTGGTTCAGTTCCTATTTTAACAGTTTGCTTAACTCTGGTATTAGGGTCAGATTTTGCTGCCTCAAGCCATGCTGAAGTGCTGCTGCTTCCTAGGACGTGCCAACTTTCAGGAAAAAAACACAATAATCCATAGTCAAAGTACATTTTAGTCAAGAAATCTCTCAAAAAACCCAATATTCTTATTTTGGGATAGTAACAAAATGAGAGTTTTCCACCTTGAAATTCATTTCATTCTTGTGCTCACACTTACTCCATACAACCCTCCATCTCTTCTCCCCTCACCCTTCACTTCCCAATGCCAGTGGAGCCCACTCCCAAAACAGCATTTACAAGCCTCACATGCATTTATTTCAGTAGGAAGTCAGCACCTCAATATCTGATGGATCTGACCTGGATCTGGCCTCTTGAATTCTGCCAGCAACCTTCTCTCAAGCACAAGAGCAGCACCACCCATAACCATCCTACTGAAAGCAGCATTGGCTCAGATGCAGTTGCCAGTGGCCCAAAATCCCAATCAATAAGAGTTCTTGGCACATCTGCATCACATCCTGCATCTCCTCAGCCACAGACTGGTGCTGGAGGCAAACTCTCTGTCCCACAGCAGCAGAAAGGCACATCAGGAAATCATCAGTGAGTTGCTTGCTCCTTAGCCTTGAGGAATAGAGATTTCAAGAGCAGCCACACAAAAAGACAGAGATCCATGGCTGTAAAGATCTCAAGGTCTCCTTCTTCTGCTGACCATTTGCCCAACATAGAATGATATTATCATGAACAGGCAGCCCAGCAGCCAAACTCCTTCTCCACTCCCACACCACACCCCAGAGACCCAAAGTGCCAGACAAGCAGAGGAGGAACAAGTCAATGCACTCACCCACCACAGTGGACATGAAGAAGGGGCAAGCTGGCCAAGGAAGCAAGTCATGAGCGATGGAACCAGACAGAA